TATAGAATGTGTTGTGTAGAAAATAAAATAAAACAGAAATGTTGTCTTAGCAAGTAACTGAAACAAGTTCAAGCTGAAGTAGTAAAATTACAAGAAAAAAACATTGGAAAAAGTTAAATGTTTTAAAAATCCAAAAAATGACAAAAGCACACAACAAAATTATGCAAAATTAAACAAAAACTAAAATAAAAGCTAGTTCAAAATATTAAGAAATACTATAAATACTACATACTAAATAAATACCAAATACTATAATAGCATAATTTATTACATTTTATAAACTTTTTTAAATTTTAAAATGTATTGTTTTCACACACCTCTCTAAGAAGGGGGTTGTCTATACACATGAGAGAGATGATACACACACACACACACACACACACACACACACAGATATATATACGTATATATTTACAGTGGATTCACAATCTGCTCTTTAATTGCTGGGAATATATAGAATGTGTTGTGTAGAAAATAAAATAAAACAGAAATGTTGTCTTAGCAAGTAACTGAAACAAGTTCAAGCTGAAGTAGTAAAATTACAAGAAAAAAACATTGGAAAAAGTTAAATGTTTTAAAAATCCAAAAAATGACAAAAGCACACAACAAAATTATGCAAAATTAAACAAAAACTAAAATAAAAGCTAGTTCAAAATATTAAGAAATACTATAAATACTACATACTAAATAAATACCAAATATAATAGCATAATTTATTACATTTTATAAACTTTTTTAAATTTTAAAATGTATTGTTTTCACACACCTCTCTTTATCTATTTGTTTATATCAGTCTCAATAGACAGACACAAAAAGAGAGAGAGAATTCTTCGGTTAAGATTCAAGGTAATCCCGTTCTCCCTGAGTGATCACCGGCACAACATTTTCTCGCAATAGCACAGCCATTTAAATTGGCACCAATGAGGCCACGAAGAGATTAAATTGTTTAATCCTACACCAATTCATACACAGCACACAGTCAAATGAAGTCATTAGCTCTGCGTTAACAGCAGGGAAGCCAATTACAAACGGCAGCAAGAGCTCAGAGAAACATTACCTCTCGTGACTACGATCTACCACACAAGAACTTCAAATTCAATTCGGTTTATTCTCCAAAGAAAACCTGGAAAACCTGAAGCACCCACAATAATGCAGCCACTCTAATGCATTATTTATAGGCCTTAAGTTATTCATTAGACAAGAATGGGCACCATCCCATACTGTAGGTGTGGAAGACCAGGAATATTAACAAGGGAGACTTGATATTTAAACATGGCGTGGAATAAATCGCTGCAAGTAAATGCCAAGTAAATAGCACAGCACGTTAGTTACAGTGTGCTGCAGCTTGCCAATGCCTGTTGTTATTCTAAAGCATGACCTTTCCATTGCAAGATGGCTACTTCTTTCTCTTGGTTTTTGAAACACTTAGGGAGTAAAAAAAAGAGAGAGAGACATTAATAACAGACATTAACTGTAGGTCCACATGTTAGCCAAGTCAATGTCCTAAAAATGATGGAACGATGGCCTTATATTTATAGAGTGCAACTGTTGGATTCCGGAAGTAAAAATCTCTTTCATTTTCTCCATAGGGGAATTCATTTTTAACAGTAGCACACAAATCTTTAACGAGAAACCTACTGTGAGCTACAAGGTTGTTAATAGATGGTTTTTGCTTTTGACGAAGCCACTAGACCGCATTATTTCAAATTATTTAAGAAGTAATAATTTCACAGCAGGTCAAAAACTACATTATCCATGATTCTGCAAAGTAATCAGCACCAATCAGAGACCTATAAGAAGCAAATTGTGCCAAAAGTGCTCTTTAGCATCTGTCTACTACAATACATAATTTAGGTGCATATTAACGTAAAACATAAATTGCATTTATTGTTTCTTTGTATATATAATTACCATCTTTTTAAATCAATAGCTTTTATTTGACTGTCATTTGCAATGCTTCATGGGATTGTAGTACTTTTTTTCATTAAAGTCTTAAGTAGGTAGTCTTGTACCTTCGTCTTTTTGTCTGATTTTAAAATCAATTATTTTTTTTGCTTCAAATTAAAGCTTGTACTGTTGCGTTTCACCTTCTGGCTGGCTGGTTTGGTTCAAGGTTTATAACTCTTTAATGAACACTTTTTTTTCAAATCCCTATGGGAAAAATACTTTCAGAACCAAGGCCATTGAAAAAAATAGCACAGATGTAAAAATACAGATACGTGCAGAATAAGCCTATAGCACTATTTAGTTTTGGACAACAAATGTTTTCCTGTCCCTGCATGGAATTTGATTTTACCTTTCCAAGGAGCTAAGAAAATGCAGCAATTCCCTGATGAGTTTGCATTGCTAGAAGTGGTGTGACAGCACTTTTATCCCACAGGCAGTAAAATCTTTGCAGCATCGTTTTCTCCACTCAAATAGTTATTGATGTTGAGACATGGTGATGTTCATGAGATTGTCCTGACACTGCAGTTTAAACACTGCTGTACAGCCAGGCAGTAAACCCTTAAAATGCTTAAGAGGCCTGTCATACATCATGTCATGGGGAGACTGTACGTGCCTACGACACAAAAGGCCTTTCAGGAAATAAACTTTCACTGCCTACAGATGGTGATTCTGGGGTCCCAGCAAGGCCTTGGCTCATAAAGAGCGTGAGGCACCATCTTATTTCACTAGCTGTGTTTTTGCCCAGCTGTGGGCTCAGTCAGCGGGCTTTACGGTCACCGATGTAATTATACAGCAGCTTAGCAGCTCAAACAATGAAACAGCCTGTTCACCATTTACAGCCTCCCAACTCCCACTCATAAAATAATATGCCAAAATCAATAAGCTTCCAGATATGTCTCGGAACGCTGATACATCTCGGCGAGAGCACTGGTCTGATGGAGCACAAATCCAGCCTAACAAGCTGAGGGGGAAGAGAGGGGTTAATTGGGATGTTGGAGCCGTCCTTCAAAAGCTGGAGAGTGAACAGAATCAACCGAAGATGAATGAGACTGAGGGGGTGTCTTGATCAAGCCAAGACGGCATGACAACACAATAGCTCTCTGTCAGATGCACGTCCTTCTGCCACGAGTTTCCAGTTACAGGCAGCCAATCCTAATCATGTAGGCTAAATAAATATCTCTAATATTTGGAAATCAAATAGGATCTGATTATATGCATTAGTCAAGCACTGTCGTATTAGCAGGGAAAAGCATTTGCCATACCTGCCACACAATTAATGTCTTTATGGATTATGTACTCGATATGGACTCGTTTTGGTGAGGGTTTTGTTTCTTACAAACACACAGCTTTTCACTTCACAAGATGTTAAAAGTTAGTTTGATCATTTGTGGATTACTGTGATGTTTTTATCAGCTATTTGGACCTTTTTAGTGCATTCATTTTGGGTGAAATATTTCTTTAAAATAAGCTATACCTTCAGTAAACCTGTTTTGCATACTAAACACAAAAAGCACTCTACCAGCATTTCTGTGGGGAAGATCAGACTACATCTGTCCGTGACAGGCCTCGGCGGCAGGGGGGCAGGACCATCTGACCCTCTCCAGACCTGACCATCCACAGGATCCATCTGCTCGGCCTGCGACTGACTCCACAGTACCATGTCACACACATAGGAACCCAGTCACAACCCTGCCAGACACAGCACTCTCTCTTTGTTTCGGCCTGTTCTCATATTCATCTGCTCAAGTACACTCGCAAAACAAACTAAATGTAGGCCTACTGTATAACATAACAGGAATGACCCATTTACTATTATCTCACTCACCTCATGTCACCTGTCCCTTCCATCTTTCAACTCTCTTTCGCTGACCTGATTGCGTTAAAGCAAACATTCATTATCGATATTACTAACAATCAGTATACTATATATATAAAACCGTTTCTTGTTTGTCAACAAACAAACAAACAACTCACAAGCAAAACAAACTTTACCTTGAGCACATAAACCATAACAAGCCATTATGTCCGCCACGTTTGAAATATATTGCATCGTTAAATGTATTAGACAAAAATGAGCTTAGTGTCGCAGTGGTCGCCATTATTTTGCCAAGTAAGACATCTTTTGTTAATCCTGGATCAACATAACTTTCCAAAAATATAGATTTAACCCAATCCCTACCCCTAAACCTAACCCTACCCATAATTTATTCCTAAAACAGTGTGAAATGATAGCTGATTAACAAGGCTGTAGAAGCACCTAACCCTGATTGTAAGCCTAAAACAGATATTTCCTGAAAAGTTATGCCTCAATTCTGATTGGTTGATAGGTATATTGTTCCAGGCTCAACAAGGATGTTGATCCAGGAACATGTTGTACTTGGTGAAATCACGGTCACCGTGTCGCAGTATCGCAGCTTAGTATCGCAGTTTGACTGCGATATTGCTTTATACAACCTTCAATATATATTATAAAATTAATTAATTTAGAGTAACTTCCCTTTTAAACAAACAAATAATCCAAAACATTGAGCGTTGTCACCACACTGAAAGTCTGGAACTGGAACTCGAGTCAACACCGATGAACCGAGAACCTCTCTTTTGGAACCGAAAAGTTTTTCAGTGAGAAATATGTTTAGAATATGATTGTATTTGTATGATATTTTCATCAACATAACACACATATAACATGATTTGATAAACAGCAGCACTATTAGCACCACACATTTTCAGCCACGATATATAAAAGTAAAATAATTTTAGCACTATATACAATTATATTTATGTTCAAAATGATTTCGTTTTTATGAACTAAATCATGGCTGCAACGACCTAAAACTACAACAAACAAATAAAAATCATACTATTCAGAAAGCTTGTTTTACACCGCGTGTCAGAAACTTAATTATGTCATGGTGAATAGGCTATTCTAGATGGCTGTCTGCAATAACTTATTTTCTCGTCTAGTGCACGATATCCACAAGGAGTTAAGTGTTCGTAAAACGTTCTTGTGGGTCTTACATTCAGCTGATCATGGTTACATAACTGAAACCGGAGAACTTTGAACTAATAGGAAAAGGAGGTTAATGCAAGTTCGTCGTGTTTGTGTGTCAGAAGAATCTTACGAGAGAGAATTAAAGCTAGAAATGTCGTCTGAAGTGTACGACTGCATCGTCATTGGCGCAGGGATCCAGGGGTCCTGCACTGCCTATCAGCTGGCCAAAAACCAGCAGAAAACTTTACTGCTGGAGCAGGTCGGTGCAGTATGCAGTATTTCTAAATCATTTGTTCAGCCTTGTTATGATTTAAAGGACAGCATAAAACAAATGTTAGTACATTTATAAAGGCAGAATGCTCACCTAAAGCAATAAAGTAAATGTAAGAGACCGCATTGATACTTGCATACAGTATATGGACTTGACTGTTAAAGGTAGATTAGTTTTTTTTATCATTACTAAAACAAAGTCAATGCAAGTCCAGTGGGATTATTATTACAGTATTCTTTGAATTCCTTCTTTCTCCCCAGTTTGTTTTGCCCCACTCCAGAGGGAGCTCTCATGGCCAAACCAGGGTTATACGGAAAACCTATGAGGAAGATTTCTACGTACAGATGATGCACGAAAGCTATGAGCTCTGGGCTCAGCTTGAGAGAGAAGCAGGTGTTGAACTGCACAGGTAATGTTTGTAAGCATCCAAGTAAGAATGATGAAATTTTTTCTCCACAATGCAACAAGCAGACGCTGTGCACCGAAACTTGCAGACTGTCATAGCCGCCCCTCACCCATAACTTTAAGGGAGCATTTTCATTCTATTCCCTGAGCATCATCTATGGACCATGGGGCGCACTTGTTTTTACAGTGTCTGAGAGGTGTAATGGATCACGAGTGGATCAAGCCCACTCAGCCTTGATGCAGAATCAGGCGCCTTCCTCTTTCTCTCGCTGCTATCCATCTCAGCTCTCTGACGGATGGGTCCTGATGAGAGGCCACCTGTGCCCTTGAGCATCTCAGAGACTGCCGGGCAGCGAGTGAAAAATGTGTGCAAGATTTTAAAGAATGCTAGATTTGTTCTCTTCTTTGTACTATTTAGATGACACTTGCTTTCCAAACAAGTTACAGTTATTAAAAATATTACTGATTTGGACAGGATTAGTATTCATTTAGATGAGAGGGTCATTTGTGTGGATGTGGTGGTTATGGAAAATCATTTGCAAACTGGGGTTTTGGAGAATAAATCTTCATTTTATGGAGTAAATGCTATAAAGTGACTTGCAATTATCATTTAAGACCAGCATTAATGATTTTCTTTTTGATTGCATAATGTCAGTCAGAGCAATCTATGCTATGGACTCATTTATTTGATCATAATTACAGTAAAAATAGTTCTAGTTCTAGTTGTAATGGCAAAGCTGAACTTCCAGTAGCCATTACTCTAGTCTTTAGTGTCACACGATCTTTCAGAAATCATTCTAATATGCTGATTTGGTGCTCAAGAAACATTTCTTATTTTTATCAATGTTGAAGACTGGTGTGCTGTTTAATATTTTTGTGGAAACTGTTATTTCTTTGATGAATAGAAAGTTTGAATGTCACTTTTGATCAATTTAATGCATCCTTACAAAATTGAAGTATTCATTTTTGTTAATTGGTTATAGTGCATACACAAAGTCTTTTTTTCCCCTGAGGATTATCGATTCAGCACACCTTTTAGCTTTATTGACTGCTTGCTAGTTAAGATTATTATATAACTGACTAATTAGAACACAGTTTATAGAGATGCTTTATTATACATAAAAACGAATTAAAAACGAATTAGGTCTATTTAATAAATTAAATAGTTACACAGTTTATGTTGCCCATTTACAATGCAGTGTCCTCGTTAAATGATACATATTCATGCAGATATTGTCCAAAGCACCACTTTGCCTAGGGTACTGCTAAATATTACAATATTATTAGTATAATCAAGAGATTGAATTAATTATGGTGAAGATCGCACCTGACACTCTTACAGTGGCTGTTCTGACTCTTAGTGATTACATTTTCTTTTTACATCAGATGGGATGCCGGCAGCTTGAACCACCAACTGTTATTTTACCCAGAGAGCTGCCAAAAAGGTCAAAATCCATAATAAATATTTGACAGGCAGTGCAGTGAAAAATTTAGCTTTAGTTACAGTGTTCAGCGAAGGTCAAAATAAATGAGGATGCTGCAATTATGGACATTCCTAACCAGGACAGGTTTATATTTCTCATAGGACCCCCGAGGTAGTTGAGAAGCAGTAAGGTTGTGAGAAAGTTCTATGCACTTTTGATTCAGATGGTATTCAAATTACCTCCGCAAGAATCTTGCCCCACCATGATGTTCGCTATTAGGCACAAGGGCATTGACTAATGTGACATGGAGTCCTTCTTTCAGTGTCCCCAATCAAACACACACACACACACAATGGGGGATTTAGTCATAAATATCTCTGATGAATGACTTGGACCTGTGAACTCATGCTGCCCATGCATCATGATGGCTGGCAGATGAAGTAGGCATTGAAAAACAGTATCCACAGAAAACAGCACGACCATCTATCACACATTGTTGATTTAAAGCCTGTGTTCCCAACCTCTCATCCATACTGCCATAACTCCTCACATTAAGACACCTGCATCACTAGCAGGCGCAGATGGCACATTGCACAATTTATACATGCCTCTAAGCACTTCCACCTAAATCAAGGTACAGCTGTTTAACATGGTCATCTTATGAACTTCTCCTCACAGGCGCACTGGTTTACTGGTTATGGGTCCAGAAAACGGAGAGGGTTTCTCACGCCTAAAGGCCACGATGCAAAGGCACAAGATTCCCACAGTGTTTCTGGAGAAGCAGGAATTCAGCCAGCACATTCCCAATGTGAATCTCGCTGATGGGAACGGAGCGCTGATAGACACCTTTGCTGGCGTGCTGTATGCGGACAGGGCCCTCCGAGCTGTGCAGGTCAACAAAGTTTAGGATCAGTAAGATTGATTTTAAAGAAATTAATGCTTTTATATTCAGCAAGGATGCATTAAATTGATCAAAAGTGACAGTAAAACACTTATTTATATCTTATTTAAAAAAAAATTAACTTAGTAAGTAATGTAATTCTTCAAAGAAATGTTCCTTGAGCACCGAAATAGCATGTTAGAATTACTTCTAAAGAATCATGTGACAATGAAGACTGGAGTAATGTCTGCTGAAAATTCAGCCTTGCCATCACAGAATAAAATAAAATGAAAAATATATTAAAATAGAAAACTGAATTCAATTTTTATTAAAACATAGAAATAAAAAAATTCTAAATAGAAAAGCTATTTAAAATTGTAATGATATTTCACAATATTACAGTTTATTTCTGATTAAATAAGTGCAGCCTGAGTACAAATAAAAAATCTTCTCTGATCCCAGACATTTGAACAGCAGTGTAAAGTGAGACATTTTCTTGTTTTAGTGAATCGTTTTATTAAAATATTTAAAATCATCTCGGGGAGGCTGTTGGAATTTCACATGTCAATCTTATATTTAGCTTGGCAACTCAAAGCTATCAGATGCTCATCTAATTATGTATGCAAAATTAGTATATTTGCAACTGTTCCAAAACCCGCTTTGGACCGATTGTGTCACAGAAGTATCACTGAAATGGATTTTCTCCTCATTGGGGTCAGTAGATCGATTTTAGCTCACCATAGCAGTTAAAAAAAGAGGCATACAAATGGGGGGAATCACATGACACGAGTTTTAGGTACAATAAAGGGTAGACATTTGTTTGAAATATCAGATTCCCTTTTTGATGATAAATGCTGTTGTAATTAATAAAAGTATAATTTTTTTATTCTCAGATAAGAGTTTAAGCAAGTACTGTGAAATTCAGCATACAGTGGAAGTAAATCTCTTATTTTGTGAAAACTCCTAGACTTGTCAGAAAGGCATTGAGCAATGTTCTTTGTGTACATAACTGTACTTCAGTGTCGCCTTCACCGTGCTTTTTAAAGCTTTCAAAGATAAGATATGGCTGCAAACTAGCTTGTTAAAGGCTCCTTACACCCTGTCTAGGGAATATGGCCATGCACTTTTATACACAATGCCTCTCTGGATTCAATAAGCTCTGCCTACAGCAGCTACAGTGTGCAGTGATAAGCTCCCTGTTGGCTCTCACTAAGGAAACTCTTTCATTATCTGTTGCCCGAATCTGACCAGCTTTTTCCAGTTTTAACTGATCCCCGTTGACATCCCTCTGTGTCAAACTCAGCCCCTGTTAAATTTTAACCAGTCTCTCCTCACTGCTCTGATTAGGATTTTCTGTCATAGATGAGGTGTTTTGAAGAAGTTTTGTCTATGCAGTAAAGTTGAGCATGCTGTTGTCAGACTGAAGTGATTTGAATCTGTTGGTCTCTGTGTTTTTCAGAGGATGTTTCAGTCCTGTGGGGGTGTGATAAAGGACGGGGAGAAAGTGATTGACATCAGGCCTGGTGCGGAAGTCACTGTAACGACGGACTCTGGAGTGTACAGAGGGAGGAGTCTGGTGATCACTGCAGGACCCTGGGCCAACACTCTGCTGACACACACAGGACTGCAGCTCCCGCTCAAGGTTCAGCAGACATCCAGCCATCCCTTTCATTTACTCATCTATTCATTCATTCATTCAATTAACTACTTACCTTCTTTCTTTCATCCATTCTTTTTCTTTCTTTCATTCACTAACCTAATTTTTTTTTTTTTCATCCATCCATATACTTACCTTGTTTTCTTTCTTTCTTTCACATCATTTCATTCATTCATCCATCCATTTGTTGATTTCTTTCTTCACCTATTTACCCTCTTTATTTCATCCATCTGTTTATTCATTTACTCCCCTTTTTATTCATCTGCCTATCCATCCATCCATCCATCCATCCATTCACCTTTTTTAGTTTTCCTTACCTACACAACTTCTTTCTTTGCTTGCTTGCTTTTTTTTCTGCTATTCAGCTATGTTATATTTTTCTTCACCTGCTTACCCTCTACATCATTTCATTCATTCATCCATCCATTTGTTGATTTCTTTCTTCACCTATTTACCCTCTTTATTTCATCCATCTGTTTATTCATTTACTCCCCTTTTTATTCATCTGCCTATCCATCCATCCATCCATCCATCCATCCATTCACCTTTTTTAGTTTTCCTTACCTACACAACTTCTTTCTTTGCTTGCTTGCTTTTTTTTCTGCTATTCAGCTATGTTATATTTTTCTTCACCTGCTTACCCTCATTATTTTACCATATTTATTTACTCTTTTTCCATTCATTCATCTACTGCAGGGGTGGCGAACTCCAGTCCTGGAGAGCCGCAGCCCTGCAGAGCTCATCTCAAACCCTAATTAAAACTCACCTGCCTGTAGCTTCCTAGTAACCGTTCAGACATTGATTAGCTTGTTCAGGTGTGTTTGATTAGGGTTGAAGCAAAACTCTGCAGGGCTGCGGCTCTCCAGGACCGACGTTCACCGTCCCTGATCTACTGTATACATTTACTCCCCTTCTTTCCTCCCATCCATTTTTTTTATTTCTCTTACCTTCATTCATTCGTTCATTCTTTCTTTCTTTCACTCATACATTATATTTCTTTCTTCACGTATTTATCCTCTTTATTTAATTTACTCATTCATTCTCATTTACTCATTTTTTCCATCCATCCATGGATTTACTCCCCTTCTTTCTTTCTTCCATCCAGCCACCTATCCATCCACGCATCCATCTGTTTATTCATGTACTCCCCTTTTTTCATTTACTCATTCATTTACTTTTTTTCCCATTTCATTTACTCCCCTTTTCCATCCGTCAGTCCATTCATTTACTACTTCTCACCTACACAATTTTTCTTTTTCTTTCTCTTTCTTTCCACATTATTTCTTTCAGCTATTTTCCTTATTTAATCTGATCATTTTGTTATATTTTCACCTGCTTACACCCTTTATTTTACCATATTTATTTACTCTTTTTCCATCCATCCATTCATCCATCCATACATTTACTCCCCTTCTTTCTTCCCATCCATCCATTTTTTTCATTTCTCTTACGTTTGTTTGTTCGTACATACGTACGTACGTTCGTTCTCTTTCTCTCTTCTTTTTTTCTTTAAAGGCATCATGGAACAATATATCAGTGTGAAATGTCTGGGTTTGGAAAACAGGTTCTGAAAAATGGAAGCATGGGAATATATAAGGCATATTGACAATCAGCCATAGCTTGTGAAACACACACAGGCACATATAGATTGATCTGGATTACACCCCTGGGCAGAATGAAAAGTGAGTTATTTGTGAATGCACAGAAACCACCCTATACTCACCTCCCGATCCTATAAACAGCTCCCAGAGTCTCCAGTCCACCGAGATCTCTTATGTGTCACACGCCACGAGAGAAGTAATGGAAAAAGAATTCTGTGTTAGTTAAACTCCGAATTGGACCTAGAATTGGAATTGCATTTTTCAGGATAGCACATGCTTGAAAGTCTGCGCTTGGGTGAGCACAACAATATATGAGCAATGAATTTGTGCACTGGTGATTTTTTTATGGTCTCTGAATGAGAAGACAGGCTGGACTATTCTGAGCTAGCGATTCCTTACTGCTTATTACATTTACTCTGAAGTGAGTTAAAGTGATAGTTCACCCAAAAATTAAAATTGTGTCGTTAATTACTCACCCTCATGTCATCCAAACCCATAAGACCTTCATTCATCTTCATACACAAATTAAGATATTTTTGATGAAATCCGAGAGCTTTCTGACCCTCCATAGACAGCAACGCAACTGAAACATTCAAGGCCCAGAAAGGTAGTAAGGATGTGACATAATTAATGTTGAACCACTGATATGGAGCTACGAGTATACTTTTCGTGCGCAAAGCAAATAAGAGTGAAAGGACTTTGAATCTCTCGTTTTTTTCTGGGCAGGTTGTAAAGATTAACGTATGCTACTGGAAGGAGAAGATCCCAGGCACCTACAGTGTCGGCCAGAGTTTCCCATGTTTTATAGCGATGGAGCCAAAAGAGGGGGAATATGATATTTACGGCCTTCCATCCAATGAGTATCCAGGACTAATGAAGGTGAGTGACAGGAGGGATGCTGCTTTTAAAAGAACAGGTTTGATTAAAGCCATGGCCTGGTGGTTAACTTTGTGGTGCTCAGTTTCAGGTCTTACTTGTGTCATTCTGGATTGTTTAGTAAAACTATGAAATATTAAAAAATATTTTTGTTCATTGAAATAAAGCTGAAATACAATCAAATGTAAATATTACACACACAAAATTAAGCGAAATGAAATTTGGCATCTATCTGAGATAAGTAATCAAATTACAAAAAACTAAAATAAAAATATATATATATATATATATATATATAATACCTATATAAAGGCAAATAAAAAATTTGAATAAGTACTATAATAGAATAGAATCAAATGAAACTGGATCCTGACCGCACCATGTTTCACTTAAAAAAAGTGACAAAAAAAAAAGTTTCAACCACATCTTTAGCCTTCTTTACTGTTTGTCCAATATGTTTTATTTGAAAGACCACTTCTCCATGGAAACAATAGATATAGCCTGTCCTAAACCACTATATAAGTATGCACCACAAACCATTTCATTAATGCAATTGCCTGCCCACCTCTCATAAAAAAGCCACCAGAGACTGGTAGTCTCTGATAGTCCATAGTTTTCATTCTTTGTTAATTAATCCACAATTCCCTCATGCAGCAATACAGCACACATCTCCACTCAGAGTTCGAGTGCATCAGATGCAAGTGCAAACAGAATTGGTTCTATAGCTCTCTGAATGGATCCATGGACCTCGATGCTTTTACAAAAGCAGAGAAGCAGCACTCTCCTCTGGTCTGTTCTCCCAGTACTAATGGCCCGGTTTCAGTATGCGGGAGAGCCCAGCAGGAGTCTTCAGCCTCATCACACTTAGCAAGGCTGAATGGGAGAGCACAGATGGCTCTGTCATGTTAGATGCATTATGTCTGCTCCAGTCGCTGGAGCCTGGCTTCTGCATGTATATCTGCTGCTCCTCCAAGCATACCGAGGGGTGGATCACAGATCCGTAATGTATCATAGGTCAGACTGTTTTTATGGACCATGGTGTGCGTGCATGTGTCTGAGCAGGTGTGTTACCACATGGGCAGTGAGACCGAACCGGATGAGCGAGATAAACAGACGGATAGAGGGGACATCGATATTCTGGTGCGTTTGGCAAACACACAGACCGTAGCTTCTGGGTGGGAAGTTGCCCCTCTTTCCACCCGGAATTTGTCTCAAGCCAAGCTCTGAGCTCAAGACCCTCCGGTTGCCATGGATACCCAGCCACATCAGTGGGGTTTAAGGAAGAACAGAGAACGTCTGCTGGTCAGAGCTGTATCCACTCACAGCCCAGCTTTGCAGACTTCAAACGGCCACCCAATCCGCAAAGGCAAGAGCCGAGAGCGTCGGAGAAGAATGCAGTGCATTTTAAACATCTTACCCAGCTCCATCTCGGTCTTAAAGAGATCGTTCACCCAAAAATGAAAACTCTGTCATCATTTACTCTAAAGTACGACTTGCTTTCTTCTGTGTAGCACAGAAGGTTTTGCAGTTTGTACTTTTCCATGTAGTTACTGTATAATAAATGGGGACTAAAGCCGTCAGTGCTTCAAAAAAGACTGAAAAGTATCATAAAAGCAGTCTCTATGACTAGTCATACAATAGCTTTGTGTGAGGAACAGACCAAAATTAAACCATTAATCCTATACTTCAGTGGACTGTTAATCATTCTGACTTGATCATTATTTGTCAATTAGATGAATTTGAAAACCAGGTCAGTTTTGTGAACTCTATCAGCTGATTTATAAAAGAGAAAATCACATTGTTCATGAATCAGATATTACTGTATCTCATGAAATTGAAAAGGAGAGTTCGGACAGATATTCAGATTTTCAGTGAATATAATAACTTGCATTGCAGTTTCTTTCACAAAACAGTCATATGGCATCAAAAGACCTGAAATATAGTGCATGTTTCATATGGACCAATTTCATGATACTTTTATGGTGTTTTTACATCCCTTTAGAAGGAGAAGTCTCTGTTCATTGTAATTGCATGTAAAATATGGACATCTACACTACCTTTTAAAAATGTGGAGTTAGTAAGATTATTTTAATTCAGCAGTGACACATTAAATTGATCAAAAGCGACTGTAAAGACAATTGAACAAATTATAATAAACAGTAAAATGCTGTTCTTTTTCAACTGTATTCATTGAAGAATCCTGAAAAAAAAAAAGATCACGGTTTCCACAAAAATATGAAGCAGCACAACTGTTTTCAACGTTTATAATAAGAAATGTTTTTTTGAGCAGCAAATCAGCATATTAGAATGATTACTGAAGATCAAAAGCGACTGTAAAGACAATTGAACAAATTATAATAAACAGTAAAATGCTGTTCTTTTTAAACTGTATCCATTGAAGAATCCTGAAAAAAAAAGGATCACGGTTTCCACAAAAATATGAAGCAGCACAACTGTTTTCAACGTTTATAATAAGAAATGTTTTTTTGAGCAGCAAATCAGCATATTAGAATGATTACTGAAGGATCATGTGACACTGAAGACTGGAGTAATGATACTGAAAAATCATAGTTTGCCGTCACAGGAATAAATCACATAGAAAACAGCTATGTAATAACATTTCACAGTATTACTGTTTTTACTGTATTTTTAATCAAATAAATGCAGCCTTGGTGAGACTTTTCAAAAACATCTTCAAACAAATCAAACTGACCACAAACTTTTAAATGGTAGTGTACATTATTCCAAATTTCTCCTTTTGTGCTCCAGTGAAAGAATAAAAAATATGTATGGAATTAAATGTAGGTGTGTAATAATGACCATTTTAATTTTAAGCTAAAATGATCTCTTTAACACACCAGAGAAAACATGCATGTACACAACCATGCTAAAATGAATCCTCTGACAGTCCACTCTCTTCAATGAGGGAGACAAATTTTCTTAATTTAGCATTTTGCCAAAACCCACCCAAAAGACAAATGTCCTGTGACAGCGGGTGTGATGGTGCCAGCATGATTTGAGAGGGTTTTCTCTCTCTCCATGCTCTCTCATGCAAAGGCTTTCTGAGTCAGACAGTGGACGACAGATAATGGCTATTTATAGAGGGGTCGCTGTAGATTCCTGTGAGGTGCGCTGCTTTTATCCCAGTGGATTGAATGAATGTAAACTGCATCCTATGATGATTCACCTCTCAGCAAATGTGATTTGTTTTTTTCTCATTCTTTCTCCGCAGGCCATGGCTTTAAGTTCGGCCCTATCATAGGGAAATTGCTCTCTCAGTTGGCCATGGGGCAGGTTCCCTCATACGACCTCTCACCTTTCCGTATTCAACGTTTCCAGTCTCACGCCAGATCATCACTTTGAATCCAAGAGCCTACAATGACAGCTACATTTAACATAATAAAACAATGTTAAACAATTTCTGAATGTTAACTGTGCTATGTTAATCCATTACTAATTCATACATGCTTTTTTCTGTAATATCAAGGCTGTGCCAAGTTAACATTAGACCAAAGATGTGCAAAAAGGAAATATTCTTTCCCACAGAATCCTGTCTAAATCTCACCATCAGTGTGTTGATGGTGTTGTGGAATTGTGCCATTGAAGTGATGTGAGTGAAAGAAGTTGACTTCCACCACCTTATTGCATGTATAATAACATGTGAAATTATAAAAATACCATAGGCTTTATGTAGACATGGAGACTGTATATGTGCTAATTATGTTTCTAGGTAACAGCCTGTTTTATATTGGTTTCTGTGTAAACGCTGGGTGAGTCTAATTCTAACAATTCTGCTTTAACTGTTATTTTTAAATCTTGATATAATTTTTTCTTTGCATTGCATATTGTCCATTTAATATTTCTAAAAGATAAGCATGGGGGGCGTTTGGGTTTTTTCTAAACATTATTGATGTTTGTATGTAAAATTAAAGCCATATTCATTATTTTTCATGCCCATTTTAAAAATTCACATTTTAACTTTTTTAATACTTGGGCTTATTATAGTTCACTAAACCTAAAACCATAAAAAAATGTCATTACTGAATGTTAAATGAAAATGTAGGCTAATTATTTTTATTACAGCTAGTTGCATAGGCAGCATTTCTCATTTTATTTAGTTTAACTTAATGTACTAAAATAACTAACACTGAAATAAAATTAATAAAAACTGCAGACATTTCTGTAAAAAAAAAAAAAGTCAAAACAGACAACAAAATTACAACTTTAAAATTACAGTGAATATTGAAAATATAAAAATAAACAATAAATTGGAAAATTACACATTTAAATTACAAAAAAAAGGTAAATATGAGAATAAAAAAATATTATAAAACCAATAACTTAGTCTCAATGCTACTAAAATAGCAGGATCTACTAAAACATGATACATGAGATATCTCTTGCATCCGCATCATACGCACATCGCCAAGCTGTTATTGAATGCAAGAATACGCCACCCTAAGCATAAAAGTGACGAAATGCGATTATGTGAACGTGATTAATAACCATTTTAAATGTGTCTTCACCATTAACGTTTATATGAAAAGCCTGCAGAGATTTTCACACCGTTCTTCAGGAGAAGGATGACAGATCAATACCCTCCGATGCTGATCACCAGAGTAAAGCCATGTTTCAGCATCTGCTACACTGACAAGGGAGCCATTAGCCTCCCGCGATGAATTTCTAACAGTATCGTCTGATATTGTCTGATTGTGAACGCATTCATCTGTGGCCAACGGCATTAAAATTAAAGTGCACACTTGTCAGTTTTTATGATTTTACGCATTACTCTTCCTCGACAGCTCGGAGAGAGCGGTCTGGCGGCAAACGGAGCATATTGCTAAAAAGACATCAGCCGTCGAGCCATTTGTCTTGGTGAAGTCAGCATCATTTGTTGACTTGCTGCCTGGACCCATTTTCCCCTGTAAACATGTTAATCACTAATCAGGCAGCCTTTTACTCTAGACGTCCACCGGCACCATCAGGGGGAATGAGGAAATTATACAATGTGACAGCGGGTTACCGTGGGCCCATTCATCCTTCTGGCTAGAAGTTAGCTTGCATTGATAGTATTAGTGCATCGATGGCCGTATTAAAATGCTATCAAACATGCAGGAGCTAATGTTTACCACCTCTGATGAGAGCTAACCTGATGGCATGAGAGCGACAGAAGCTATTGTGAAGGCATTGAGGTTTAATAAATGCAGCTCCAGGCTTCTTTTCTGGCTCACATGCGTGGAATTCGGTCGAAAGGAGTTTTTTTTTTTCTCAAGAAAAATCAAAATAGCTCTCTGGCGAAAATGATAAAGGAGATTTATTATGATCGGGAGAGAGAGAATCAGGCAAATTGTGCTCTCTGAAACAATGCCTAAAGGAAGACGTCTGTGCACAAAAGAATCCACAAAATCCGTGGACACTTGCTCATCTCTGTCCTTTGAAAACAGATAATTCTGCTAATTCTTCCACTTGTGTTTTTTTTGTCCTAGAGAGTTGCAGCTGGATTTAACCGCACTTAACATTGGCCTCACTGTTTGATAAAGTGACCATGAAGTGTTCTTATCATTAAAAACTAAAGGAAGACGTCTGTGCACAAAAGAATCCACAAAATCCGTGGACACTTGCTCATCTCTGTCCTTTGAAAACAGATAATTCTGCTAATTCTTCCACTTGTGTTTTTTTGTCCTAGAGAGTTGCAGCTGGATTTAACCGCACTTAACATTGGCCTCACTGTTTGATAAAGTGACCATGAAGTGTTCTTATCATTAAAAAAATATATATGATATATGATTTAACTCAAAATTGTCTGACATTGCTATTAGGGTGACTCAACAAAACCATTTTCTTTATTTTGAAAGCACATGATGCACATATGAAAGCAATATAAAAAAAATCTTGAACAAGGAAGAGGTCAATCAAAGGCTTGGGGTGGTAAGGTAATTTCAATCATGACAACTCTCTGAAGATTTTAGCATGGTGATGGATATGACAATGTTAATGTATTTGGTCTTGGCAGAATAGATCTGCTACACTGCTGCTGCTGTTGGTTATTGCTGTAGTTGAAGATTATTGCTGCTGCTGCAAGCAAGTACAGGAACTTGCTACTGCCAATGCATATGGCGATATTGGGCAGTGAGTATTTAAGACATACTGCTGCTGCACAAATAGCATATAAAATAACCCGTAGCAGATCTATACAGGTGGACCTGGGGAAGGTGGAGGGTTTCAGA